CCAATCAAGCACAGTAATCCCACAGTCATTGAACCAGGTTGTGGTGCTTTTGGCAGTGTGGGCAGGTGCCAAGTCCTGCTGGAAAATTAAGTCAGCATCCCCATAAAGCTCATCTGTGGAAGGAAGCATGAAGTGCTCCAAAATCTCCTGGTAGACGGCTGCATTGTCCCTGGACTTGATGAAGCACAGTGGACCAACACCAGCAGATGACATGGCTCCCCAAATCAACACAGACTGTGGAAACTTCACACTGGATTTCAAGCATCTTGTTGTGTGTGCCTCTCCATTCTTCCTCCATACTCTGGGTCCTTGGTTTCCAAATGAGATGCAAAAGTTGCTCTCATCAGAAAAGAGGACTTAGGACCACTGAGGAACAGACCAGGTCTGTTTTTCTTTAGCCCAGGTAAGACGCTTCTGATGTTGTTTGTTGTTCAGGAGCGGCTTGACAAGAGGAATACGACATTTGAAGCCCGTGTCCAGGATCCGTCTGTGTGTGTGGTGGCTCTTGAAGCACTGACTCCAGCCTCAGTCCACTCCTTGTGAAAGTTCCCAACACTTTTGAATGGCCTTTTCCTGACAATCCTCTCCAGGCTGCGGTCATCCCTGCTGCTTGTGCACCTTTTTCTTCCACACTGTACCTTTCCACATAACTTTCTATTAATGTGCTTTGATACAGCACTTTGGGAACATTCAACTTCTTTTGCATTTACCTTTTGAGGCTTTCCCTCCTTATGGAGGGTGTCAATGATGGTTTACTGCACAACTGTCAGGTCAGCAGTCTTTCCCATGATTGTGATTCCTACTGAACCCGACTGAGAGACCATTTAAAGGCTCAGGAACCCTTTACAGGTGTTATGGCTTAATTAGCTGATTAGAGTGGGACACTTTGAGCCTAGAATATTGCACCTTTTCACAATATTCTAATTTTCTGTGGATTTGGGGTTTTCATGAGCTGTAAAACGTAATCATCACAATTATGACAAATCACGGCTTGAACTATCTTGCTTTGCATGTAATGAGTCTATCTCATATATTAGTTTCACCTGAATAAAGAGAATGGGTGAATAAAGAGAATGTGTCTTGTATTGAGGTATATAGAGGACTTGTGCATGGGACAATAAAGAGAGCCTGTCAACAAAAAGGCCTGCAAATGGTCTTATATCTTAGCAGCCAGAAGACTCTGAAATATTTGATCTCTGACAGAACTCAAAGGATTCATGATTTGGGGCAGTACAGTAGCTTGACAAATAGTGTTACTGCCATGCGGCGCTATTGGGTTCCTGGCGTGGAGTTTGCATGTCCTATCCGTGCTTGCATGGGTTTCCTCCCACAATCCAAAGACGCACTGTCATGTTAATTGAATCCAGTCTGCCTCAGCCCTAATGATGGTGATAGAGACCTCTGACTGTAAGTTCCTGGAAGGCAGGGACTTATGTGAACGTACGGTATGTAAATGTTTGGTACATATGAATACCTGTCATAAGATAAACAAGGGCTGTTGTGAAGTGGCAAGATTGGCATGCACAGCTACTTTGCTCACTCCACTGAATGGCATCCAGCATGGCCAACACAGCTATCCCCACTCCTCCAATGACAAGTGGCAAGCGTAGCTTCCCCCACTCCAATGAAGGGCTGCCATCTTGGCTCACACAGCAACTCTACCTCTTCTAATGAGGATCTTGATATTACAAATCTACTTCCCAGCTCCTTTGAAAGAGTGTGACTATATCTGAAACCACGCCCAACCCCCCCAGCAGGAGTATGACCACCCCCATCTCCCCCAAAGAATGCGACCTTACCTGGCATCATGCCCACACTCCTAGCCCCCCCCCCCCCCCCAGAAGAGTGTGACCATACCTGATATCATGCCCTACTTTCCCAGCACACACACACTCCCCACCACAGCATGAGTGTTACCATACCTGGCATCCCCCAACCCCACAGAGAGTGTCCCATGCCAGTCCTTACCCTCCTGGTAACTCCTCACCTGTCCTTGTCCAACACTGGGTCTGATCTGACTGATTAGTAATATACAGATGCCTACCTCTGTGAACCGGTCATTGTGCAGATGTGGAGAAACAGGATTTGACCACCTACCTGATGAGATGGAGAACCTAAATAGCTGGTGTCGCTGGCTGCTGCCATGCCAGAGAAGCATTGCAGGGCAGAGCCCAGGACTGGTTACTCATGTCAGAGCAGACCCCACATGGTGCAGTTCCCAGCCTCCTCCATTTTGTCTGCACTTTATGCTCTGCATGCTTGGCTCTATTCTGCTCATCATCCTCCCAGGTGTCACTGGTCCCACTTGTAACGATTATGCGCAATAGAGACATGGAAGCTGTATGCAACAGCCATCTTGTTAAGGTCTCAGCCATTTTGTTTTTCATGAACAATCATCTTTCACCCCTCCTCCTCCCCCTTGAAATGGAATTTGTATCAGATTTCAAAAGAGCCTGTTATATTAAATAAAACACAAATAGAGGCCAGCTCCAGAACTGTAAACCACTAATTAGGCTTGGCAAGATGTCTATTTTGCAAAGACACTTTCCTCTGCCCTATCGTTTAACAATAACTCAGTCAGCCGCCCCACATGACCTGTTAGGCATTAGCGCTCTAGGAATGCAGAGCATGCCAAAAATCGTCTATTCCACATGTAACAATTCATAAAATTAAACAGGAACTGGGCACATTAATATTAGGTATATATTTGGATAGATCATTTTATGCCGAACAGATTCAGATCATAAATGAGCACATAAGAAAGGGAGAAAGCAGTCTCTTCCCTCCTGGGTGACGAAAGGTATGCTGTGTTTGGTATCCCTGGGTTTGAAATATAATTCTGTATTTTAGTCTGGCAGTTGCTAGAATACAACCTGCATACACTGGAAGTTATTAATATTAGTATGAAATTGTAGTTGGGACTTGGTCATAAACTTGGTGACCTCCTGGAACCCATCCCCTAAACTGGTTGGTCAGTTGTTCTTAGGCAACACCCCTTTAATATCATAGAAAAGAACTGACAGGCTTGGAGAAGGGGAGCTCTCATTTAACATCAATCAAGAACAGGGGTGGACTGACCATTGGGGAACTCGGGAACTGCCCGAGGGCCCGAGGTCAGTAGGGGGCCCCATGAGATGTCCCTGGTACCTTTCATAGGCTTTTTTGGGTGTGGTTTGAGTGTGGGCGAGAACACAGGGGCCCCATGATCCCCTATTGCCCGGGGGCCCCATGAGTTGTCAGTCCGCCCCTGATCAAGAAACATCTTAACAGACTTGAGAGCCAAGGCAACATTTTTGCTCAGACAATTGGACTCTGATAAAACCAAGGACTTTGCAAGTATTCTTCCTTCTTAACTCCTTTCTTTTATTTCTCTCTTGCTTTATTGTTCTCTTTATGTCTTTGTAACATCTTTTTTCTGTAAATATTTTAATTGCACCATTTTGACCTTTTTAGTAATAAACCCTATTTTTAAAAATGCTGAAACTGCCTCTAAAGCTTTTAATGAAAATTGAAGAATCCGTCTGTTGAAGAGTGCTATTGTATATAATAATCCTCTGAATAGACCTGTCTGTGGTGACTGTGTGTGTTGCAGATGCTTATGCTAAAATCAGTGTTATTGCTAGGATTTGTGAGTTTCCTCCTTCTCTGTAAAAAGGCGGTGGTGGCAGTATGAAGGGTTAATTGTGTAATTAACCTAACCCAGTAACAATCGCTCTCAGGCTGCTGGCACATAGATTGTGGTCTCGAGAGCTGGAAAATCTTTGTGCAGGGTGCAGATGAGAGTGGCATTGTTACGCAAGTGATAGCACGATGTGAGATTTGCTGGTCCTTTGTCATGAGTTGATGAGAAGGGCAGAGGTCGGGTGCCGCGTTCCATCACACCACTGCTTTGTTACCGCGATGCCCCAGCTCTGTTGGGCTACAATATGAGCAGTGACAGCACAGAGAGGGGCCCAGCAGAGCCTCCCCCCTCCTTCCCACTTACTGATCACAAAGGCTTTGAGCTGTACACATTCCTCTCCCCAGCAAGTGGATGGGGGAGTCAGATTTTGCTGCCCCATTTCCTTGGCACCCTAAGGTGGCAGCCCTGCACACGGCTAATCCCATGCCTCCACTCAGGAGCTTCATTCCCCACACACCCTTGCCATCTTGGCTGGTAGCTTAACAGGCGTGTAACAGCGTATACCATTTTGGCTTCAACCTCCATCTTGGCAAAGGATTAACCATCCTGACAAATATATTTCTCCCTCATTCTTCCCCCCTCCCTCTCTGAGAGGCCCAGCGACATTTGGCCAGTATGTGCGTGAGTTAGGAATGTCACAGGAGGGTCATAGGAGCTATAAAGCCCCCCAAGGGAGCCGGGCCTCCCTGTCCAAAGAAACCTGCAAACTGTAACACCTCGGAAGAGATAAGGCAAGCTTTCCCAGGACTTGAAAGAGAATCCAACCTAATAAACCTAACTCAGCATAGGTGACAGAACACTTTTCAAAATCCATTTCTCCCCTATGTCTCATATCTTGGAATATGAGAGACCTACATAAAAATCGTTAGATTGGCCACAAGAAGGTGAACAGTTTTGATAGATCACTCGCATTGTCTCGGATACATAGTGTGGGAACTCGCTTCAAAGTGGTAGAGCTTTAACACACACAGCAACTCGCTTATTTTTCAGGGCCTTTTTAGCCCACTTTTATTTAAATGAAAGTCCCGTAACATAAAGGTTTCCCACGCAGGGGTTTCTACCATCACACAAATTAAACAATACTCAGCCTTCTGGCTCTCTCAGGGATACCACTCTATGTCTGTCTCCTGCAGACTCCTTCCAAAAGGTTGGTTTTTGCACACACAGCAAACTTCTAGCACACAGCTAGTCTGGCTTCCACCTCTCCTTGGTGAAGCCCACCTGACCCCAAGCAGTGACCTCCTGTCTTACAAGTGGAGCCCTCCTGACTTCTATCTGCCGGGGTGGAGCCCAGAACCCTGGTCCTGACTCTCTCTAAAGGCCTGCACACACCTGTGCAATCAGTCTCCTGGCCTATCCCAAAACCTGGTCCCAGGATTGGAGATTTCATCCCTCCCAGATCTCTTTGAAATCTCCAAGCTCCAGATCCCAAAACAGACCTTACAAACAAAGGAGGAAAGTGAAAAGCCACTTTCCTCCGTATCAAACACTTACCCTGGAGCCCCTCAACCTGCCTCGTTGAGAATCCTGGGTGACAGATCCCCCTACTGTCACATATCCCCCCCCTTTGTTTTGACCCCGTAGGGGGCAGAACACACGACTTACAGCTTCTGGCACCTCTGTGCACCTCAGCTTTCACTTACAGGGGTCCAATCTGGTCTGACTATACCTTTCCTAAAGGGGAACTCTACCCAATGATTCCTTTGGTGTCTCTCCCCAAGCCTCATTGTCACTCTGCTATGGGCTCTACTCAGACCTTGCCTACTCTTTTTCCGGGTGCACTTCCATAAACACTTTCTCTCCTGAAATCCTAACAGGGTCCCCTGGCCTTTCTATTGACCTTTCTGCCCCTTTGCTTCAGGTTCCAAGGTTTCCTAATACCTCTCTCAGTATTACTGTCCCAAGGCTATAGGGGAACTATTTCTACTGTATTTGTACCAGGACCGCCCCCCTGATTTCTTGTACCTTTAGCTAGCAAACCTGCATGACTCATCACCACAGCATTCAGTTTACCATGAACAGTTATATTCCAGTCAATATTACACCTTTCAATATCTTTTCCAGCATTTGTTAGGACAGTGTCTGTAGAGGGCACACACACCATAGGGCAGCCATCACCCACGTGAACCTCACAAAATGCCACTTCACCTGGTGTCATGCACTCTGCAGGCGCCTGTCCCACCATTTTAATTTTTTCTACACCACTTGGATCTGTATCCAAATCCTGTACAGATGAGCTCTCTTCTGATCCATTTTGCCAGTTTTCAGATACCATTTGTCCCTGTATGTCAGGTGTCTTATCAGACCTGCTACATAAACCTCTTTTTGGCCCAATGATCCGGATTTCTTTATGCACATCCATTTGAGCCCTGGTCAGGATCTCTGCTGTTCTCAGGTCCATGCTCGGCCCTTCCAACTCATGTGGTTTGTCCACTGGTGCAGTAAACACGCCCTTCACTGACAGCAGACCAGCACCATCCTGGACCATAGCAGCAGAAATGCTTCCCACCTGGCTGTTAGGAGGTGAAAGCTTTGACTCATTTTTCATTTCTCCAAAACATTTCTCATCTATCACATTTACAGGTAATCCAGCGGCATACCCTGATACAACTTTTAACACCATCAACAAATTCAGAAATAAACCACTTTCTTGTTCCCGTTTGATATGTACAGCCAGCCATTTGGTGCTCCACCTAGTGGTACTCCGCAGTACCAGACCATCCGACTGTGGAGGAGACAACCCAGTATACATTGGTTGTACATTCCAAAGTTCAAGCATCTCCTTTAATACTTTGGTTACAACCCAACCACTTGACTCTAAACCTAAGACCTTCCTGACCATATTTAGGGCACTGGGAATGCTGAGAGACTCACCTGCTGAGACTTGAGAAGTTGAAATTTTCAAAGGGACCTCCTCCAAGCTGGAGGAGAAGCTGGAGATAACCACAGCCTGGTGCTCCACCAGAGCGCTGCCATGTGCTGGGCTCACTCTCAACATCTCAGACTCAGCATCCATAAGCTGCCCCCGATCATTCCCAGTGACATCATTTTGACACTCCATGCCAACATCACTTTTGTGGGTCACAGACAAAGTCTCTGCTGTATACACGCCCTTATCCATAGGCTGTTCTATAGATCCTCCTGCTGGCACAGCAGAAACAGTGTCCACCTTATTTTTTTTGCATAAAAACCTCATCCATCAACGAGATTAGCCTTTTTACCCCAACTATCCCAATCCATTGTATATGTGCTCCATTCACCAGTGCACCTCAGCACCGAACCATCCGCCCAAGGAGACACATAAGAATAGAAGGGCTTAGTTTGCAGATCCATTGCACAAATCACTCTGGCTCACATCAGACTTGGGCAACACCTGTTTTCCACCAGCAGGTTGCAATACCTCACATCCACCACTTTGCTCTGGTGATACTCCCTGAATTACCCACACACTTGCATTTTTGCCAGGCTGCATTAACCCGCTGTTCACCTGAACACTTTCCGTATTGTTAGACTGCACCAACACACTCCTATGACAAGGTGCATTTCCACTCTGCTCCACCCGAGTGACATCGCAGTTGTCCAGGGCAACCTCCGGCTCCAATACATGGAGACCCCTGGAGATGTCCAAGGACACCTGTGCTGTCTTACCACCAGTTGCTATGGGAAATGACCCATCTTTAATTACAGCTTTTGCACTGCAAGAGCTCAGGGTTTTCCCAACAGCAGTACATTTCTCATCAACAACAAAATCAGCCTTTGTAGCTCTTGTGGGCTGTACTAGCCTACTACCAACCTGTGACTGGCACACATTCGTGACATCACTTCTTTCTTTTTGAGAACCAGGCACAGGTTTTACTTTAACCCCTAACTCCCCACCGTACAAGGCACTGCACAGGGAATAGTCACTCTTAAAAGCACATTCAGTGGCCCAACTAACTGGGGTCACCCCTACATCAGAATGGACAGTTTCATAACCAGTCCTTCTCAACAGGACAGTCCCAGCCATGGTTTTATCACACACAGTCTTACCCACCACAGTAGTAGGTGTCACCATCTTCATTTGAGTGCGTCGTCTCATAAACGCATCCTCAACTGCACTTTCCTTGGCAACTTTTCCCTTGCCCCAAGGTGAAGTAACAGACGCCCTCATATGCTCCATGGACTCTCTGGCACCCCCTGCAGGCCCAACAGGAACTTCCTCCCTGTTGCAAGAGGTGGCTGCTGACATTTTAAAACAAGAATCTGGGCTTGCAGTTGTCGATATTTGCCCAGTATCAGCGGTATTCCAGAGTCTAGGACAGGAAAAGATCCCATGCCCCCACTGACCACATTCCAGGCATGGTACATTTCCACTCTTATCTTTTTTGGGACAATGAGACACATCTCCAGTGCAGCTCCTCCTTCCAGGCACTACTTTTTCTCTCCGGTCGCCATGGGAGATTGCACTCTCCAAGCAGAACTTTACTGGCTCTTTCCAACATGCTGTATTGGCTCCTCTTGATGCCACTTGCCATGATCCTTATAGGACATAGCCCCCTGTACACAGACAGCCCGACTGGCCTCCTCTGTGTTGCTATGGGCCTTCACTCTTGGTCCTGGCCTCTGGTCAGCTCCTCTCCTTGCACATAGTATAGGCTTCTCTCTGCTGGACCCTCTTTCAAGCCGTGACACATTCACATTTTTCACAACAGCTACTGGTTTAACTGCAGCAGCGTTGCCATGGGTGACAACACCCCTCTCCCAGGTACGGACATCCTGCAGCTCTCTCCTTGCACTGAAGGTTGGCTTTCTTTCCTCTTTAGGTTGGTTCAAGGCGGCCAGGTGCCGTTTGCACCAGTCCACAGCAGACTCACCCACATCTACATTTCCCGGCTTGGCTGGGGCATGCGGTATATAACCCCCTAGCCACAGGGCTCTCTCTCTCATTTCAGCAAACATTGCCTCCTTTTTCTGTTTTGACCGCCCCATCTTTGCAGTCATGCACACAGCAGTGTGTTACACAGTTCAGCAACACCATGGAACACTGTCTCTTTAAGGCAAAATCCTTTTCTTTAGCAGGCTCTCCTCACCTGCACACACAGATAGTGCAGACTTATGCACCAAACACAGTTCATATAACAAATAAACTTACTTCATCGCAGGGATCTCCAATTCTGCCCACTGCAGCCTCCACCATATGTGGGAACTCGCTTCAAAGTGGTAAAGCTTTAACACACACAGCAACTCGCTTATTTTTCAGGGCCTTTTTAGCCCACTTTAATTTAAATGAAAGTCCCGTAACATAAAAGTTTCCCACGCAGGGGTTTCACCATCACACAAATTAAACAATACTCAGCCTTCTGGCTCTCTCAGGGATACCACTCTATGTCTGTCTCCTGCAGACTCCTTCCAAAAGGTTGGTTTTTGCACACACAGCAAACTTCTAGCACACAGCTAGTCTGGCTTCCACCTCTCCTTGGTGAAGCCCACCTGACCCCAAGCAGTGACCTCCTGTCTTCCAAGTAAAGCCCTCCTGACTCCTATCTGCCAGAGTGGAGCCCAGAACCCTGGTCCTGACTCTCTCTAAAGGCCTGCACACACCTGTGCAATCAGTCTCCTGGCCTATCCCAAAACCTGGTCCCAGGATTGGAGATTTCATCCCTCCAAGCTCCAGATCCCAAAACAGACCTTACAAACAAAGGAGGAAAGTGAAAAGCCACTTTCCTCCGTATCAAACACTTACCCTGGAGCCCCTCAACCTGCCTCGTTGAAAATCCTGGGTGACAGATCGCCCTACTGTCACAATAGGAAAATAGAAAAGTAGATCTCGTGAACCGTACAGTGTATAACTTCATAATTCATATCTAATCAATCCTCAGACGTGTCTGCATAATAATCTACCCCCAGGTGGAATGTCACTTGTGCAGCTGGAAAGTTATGGGCCAAAATATGAGTTACGGGAGATTTTGTCTCTAGTTGAGGTATCCACCCATACCTCCACGCCCTAAGCGGGGTATTGGTCCTTGATTTCAGAGACACCCCCTGCTGGGGACTACAATATAGGCTGTCAGGCCTAAGAGTCTAAATTGAAGACGTCTCCCATTTTAACATACCACTACCACATACCAATACCACCTGGGGAGACCCATGCCCTTTTGCTCTGAAGCTTGGATCTGCTAACCCAGGACTTTGGCAAGTACCTTAACCCTTTCACCTCTCTCTGATATCTCTTTGCTGTGCTGTTAGTCTCTGTATGTTTATATATATATCTTAGTTACATCTTTTTCTGTAAATATTTTGATTCCACCCGTTTGACCTTTTAGTAATAAATCTTTCCTTCTGAAAGTGTTGAACTGTTTCTATAGCGCTTTATTGCAATCTACGAATTCCTGCCTCTAAAGAGAACGTTACTGTGTTTGTTTAACTCTCTGCATAATCGGCCTGTGGTGACCATATTATACAGACAATTATCTCAACCATTATAGTGTTTTCCTCTTTCTCTGTTCAAAAAGGAGGTGGTGGCAGTGTGAAGGGTTGATTGCATAATTAACCTGACCCTGTAACAATCGCTCAGGCTGCCGGTACATCGATTGTGGTCCAATTAGCTGGAAAATCGTGTGGAGGGTGCATCTGGGTGTGGCATTGTTACGCACGTGACATCGCGGTTTTAGATTGGCTAGTCCTTCGGTCACGAGTTTGGTGAGAAGGTCTGGGGTCTGACGCCGCGATCGTGACAAGGCATAGTACCACATTGTAATCCAGGAAGCAGCTGACATATCACCAGACCATTTTTTAATTAATAACATCAGTGAGTGTGAGCAGGCTGTTAAGTTGGCCGTATATTCTGGAACTCCCTACCCCAATCCATCAGACTATCATCTACTCTCCTCACCTTTAGGCGCACCCCGAAAACCCATCTCTTCGGGGAAGCCTACCGCCCCCTCAGCTAATTGCCAATCTCCTCCACTCTTCCTACCACTCCATCCCCCACAGCTATTTCCTCCTGTACCACTATCCCCTTCCTCATAGATTGTAAGCTCCAAGGAGCAGGGCCCTCGAACCCCTCGTGTATTGAATTGCATTGTTACTGTACTGTCTCCCATTATAATGTACAGTGCTGAGCAAACTTGGCGCTATATAAATCCTGTATAATAATAATATTATACCATTTTCTTCAATTTCCTTTAGATGTACCTTTAATAATGTAGTGCAAGACCTTGCCTGATTGCATGCCAATAGAAATTGTTTAGGTTTCACCTAATATTGCTTTGGTAAATCGTAATGAAAATTGTACAAGAAAATGGTATAACGTATGGCCAGTCTTACACTCAGCTGTCCACTCTTTCATCCGGGAAGCAGCTTGAAAATTAAAAACACTTATTTTTGCTGAGACATCAAGATTAGCGTGGAGCGCTATCCCCACACCTCGGATGAGAAACTTGATTCTCAACACCGTCTTCCCATCTGGGGGAATCCACAAACCCTTTTTGTACTGGGGCATCAAGCTAACCGTGGACAGCTACTCCCACTTCTCCAATAATAAGCTTCAAATAACCCATACCACCTTCCCATATAGGTCAGATGGCTTCACACTCACAAGGCCACTATTCTTTCCAGGAAGCAGCCTGAAAATTTTCCCTTGCCATCTTTTTTGATAGGCACAGCCAATACATTCCCCCTGTCAGGGGATTTATTTCCCATAAATAATTTCCCCATGAGGCAGACAGGGTCACTGGCACAATACAACTCCGTCATGTCATATGCAGATTGCAAATCCCAATACCCTTTTAGTACTAGAGCAACAAGCTTTGCAGCCACAACTACTCCCCTCCTCCAGTCATGAGATTCATTCACCATGCCACCCTCCCATCTGGGGCAAGCAGTTTCATACTCACAAGTCCACTCTTTCATCCAGGAAGCAGTTTGCAAATCACCAAACCTTTTTTTTAATGGGGCATCAAGCTAAAGTACAATTTTTTAATCGACAAAGCTGAAACCCTTTAAAACTGACTCAGAAGCTGCACACTAAAATTGTCAGTATCTGCAGGTTGTTTATGCACGTGTCAAAGACAGGTACAAGAATATGTTGGCATTGGGAACCCGAGGTCAAAGTCCATACGGAATGCTCCATCAGTGCTCCTCCTCCCTTCCCGACCACTGCATCTAATAGAATATACCATTAAAGACCAGCAAACTCATGTGAACTTTTCCTGAGCACATTCCAACTCACCATTTCCGGTAACTCAGTTTTATGATTTTTTTAGTTTCAGAGAAAAGCCATGAGAGTTCCCCATTGTCTGCAGAATGAGCTATAAAATATTAACTATCCCATATGTACTCTACTGAGTATGCTCCAGTTTGCCAGTACAGTGAATTCACAGTTTTATACAATTTTGTCATTGCATTGAAATGTTGCAAGAGGTCCCCGTTGTCTTCAGAATATGAACTATAGCATTAAAAACCAAAAACCCCATAGGAACTCTTCTGAACATACTCCAGTTTGCCATTACAGTGAATACACAGACTTAAATGATTTTGTTGTTGCAGAGAAATGCCACAAGAAGTCACCAATGTCTTCCAAATATGAGCTATAGCAATAAAAACAAACAAACCCAATGGCCTCTTCTGACGATGAATCAGTTTGCCATTACAGTGAATATGCAGTTTTATATCATTTATAGTTCCACAGAAATGCCAATTGGATCAGAATGAACTATAGTGTTAAAGACTAACAACCACATAGGAAATCTTCTTTACGTGCTCCAGTTTGCCATTACAGCACACACATGGTTTTATATGATTTTGTATTTGCTGAGAAAGGCCACAAGAGATCTATAGCATGATAAAACTTGCAAACTCATATGAACTCTTTTTTAGCATGGTCCACTTTGCCATTACTGTGAAAAAAAAAAAAACTTACACCAGTCAACCATTGTGCTGCCTTGTATTACACAAGGCATTCTTTAGCATTCAGCAGTGTCTGTCCCCTTGAAGGCCAGAGACTTCCTGTCTGCTAACTTGGGAGGAAGTGACCTCATCTCTTCAGACTGAAGAAATTCTATGATGAGAGTAGATGTGGGATGCTGTTTCCTCTTCATATATGGGCTTGATTAGACCCCCAAAGTCTGTAAGTACCCTTCCTATGTACTGTGGAATGTTATGCACATAGCTAGGAAGTTAGATATGTACTCATGTCTGTTTATTCTGTTTGTATTTCAGTTTTACCATTCATTCAGTCATATTCATTCATATCCACACTTCATGTACTATGTTCACATGTTATCAGTAAAAGATCATCGGTTATCAATCATCGACTCGTTACTGTGTGGACATCAAAGGTTATACTGCCTGTTACCCTCTGTAACCCTTTCATAACTGCAGAGAAGGCAGGACAGTAAAAAGACTTACACGGTTACTTCAGAGCACATTGTGTGAAAACGCTACAGCAAGCCCCACAACACAGAAAAGACTCTTAACTGTTAATACAGCAACACGTGTGTGTGAAATCCCCACAGCACAGCCAGTCTAAGGCATAGCAAAGTGAAACTAACTCAGCTTCATGAAAGATATCACTAAATTAACCCTTCCTAAAATCTTGTGCAAACAGGAAGAAAATATGCACAGTACGCTGGAAACTAGGTCACAATGCAGCACGCCGAGAACTTATAACAAATCGGATCTGTCGTCATCCAAAGCAGAAACCGCCAGATCTAAGCGTTCAAGTTCCAGGCATTCAAACGTCACAGACCTATCGTCAGTCAGTGCTGGGGCAGCCAGGAGTAAGAATACAAGTTCCAGACATTCTAGCGTCACAAACTTGTCTTCAGTCAGCGCTATCGCCGCCAGGGCACAAGCCAAGGCCGAGGCCGCATGCGCCATGGCCTCCTATGCTATACAGGAAGCAGAGCTTATGAAAGAGCAAGGCTACCTAGATGAAGAGCAGCAGAAGAGTCAAGCTGAAATAAAAAAAGAGACAAGCAGAAGGGGAAGCTGAAATAAAAAAGAGACAAGCCGGAGGGGAAGCTGAAATAAAAAAGAGACAAGTCGAAAGGGAAGCTGAAATAAAAAAGAGACAAGCCAAAGGGGAAGCTGAAATGAAAAGGAGAAAAGCAGAAACGCTTAGGAGAAAGGCAGAAGTACAAGCCTCTTTACACATACTTCAGCAACAGAAAATAGCTGCAGCAGCCATAGCTGAAGCCGAAGTTCTCACGAGAGCTGCAGATATTCAGTTTGTAGAGAGCGATGTACTGGAAACCCCGATAACACCTCTCAGTACATTCCAACGCACCCGTGAGTACGTGCAATCACAAGCAACCCTGTACCCTGATAAACAGCCTAGTGACGCACCGAAACCATCAAGGACCTCAGTTGGGAGCAGACAGCTTTGATGTTACGCATCACTACAAGACTGAACCGCCACGTGATAAGTCAACCAATCACGGGCTCAGATACCAAACCGCCAACACGCTAAGAAACCAAGTAGATGGCGATATAACCTCTCCTCGTGCAAAATCAGATCTAGACTACAATAGAGGAGAGCAACCATCTGACCAAAATAGACTTAGTCAAATACCTCAATGTACCCATCAGTCACTATCAGCCAGTAGTCCCGCGTTTGTACCCAGAACAAACACACCTGACACAGCAAGGGTTACAGACGTGTCGAAATACCTGATGCGCCGTGAGATGGTGAGCACTGGTCTCTTGAAGTTTGACGATCGTCCTGAAAACTACTGGGCCTGGAGGTCATCCTTCCTAAGCAGCACCCAAAACTTAGAGCTGACAGACAGGGAGAAGCTCGACCTACTCGCTAAATACCTAGGACCAGAGTCCTCAGAGCAGGCCAAAAGAATCA